ATCACATATTTCTTACCGCTAGGCATGCTGAAAAAGGACAAATGGCATATCCACAATGCACCATTGGCTCCCCGATTTTTTTTATATGGTGCACACTGACCATGGAGACCCATTCTCTCATACACATGGGCCTACCAGCTTTCTCCTGCTTGATTTGAAGCCGCTACAATTTATGCCTATAGATACGTCAGAAACAGTGGCGCTATTTATATGGCGTAAGCAGTCAAAGGGTTAAAGCAGGGGACAAGTCGTTACTGTCAAATTACCGCCCAAGAAGCCTAACCTCAATTGTAGGCAAATTACTAGAGTCATTTATAGCTAAGATTATAAGTAGCCATCTCGATAAGCATAGCTTGAATAATGATGCTCAGCATGGATTCACGAGAGGCCGTTCTTGTCTAACTAATTTATTAACTTTCTTCAGTAAAGCTTTTGAGGCTGTTGATCACGATAAAAAATTTGATATTATTTACTTAGATTTTAGTAAGGCTTTTGATGGAGTTCCACACCAAAGACTGTTAAAGAAAGTGGCAGCTCATGGCACTGGGGGAAAAGTGCTCTCGTGGATCGAGTCATGGCTCACAGACAGGAAGCACAGAGTGTCCATAATTGGAGTTAAATCCGAGTGGGGATCTGTAACAAGTGGCGTTCCACAGGGATCAGTTTTGGGCTCGTTGTTGTTTTTAATATATATCAATGATCTTGATGAGGGAATTACTAGTGAAATGAGCAAATTCGCCGATGACATAAAGATAGGTAGAATAATTGATTCAAACGTAGATAACAGGGAACTTCAGGAGGATTTAGACAAACTCTGTACCTGGTCAGCAAAGTGGCAGATGCAGTTCAATGTAGATAAATGCAAGGTTCTGAAGCTCGGGAGTGTCCATAACCCTAGCACTTATAAGTTAAATGATATAGAACTTAGCCATACAGATTGTGAAAAGGACTTGGGGGTTATGGTGAGCAGTAACCTTAAACCAAGACAGCAATGCTTAAGAAATGCAAGCTCATGGCCTCTTATACCATAGTGGTCAAGTTTGCGGAGTAGGTTGCCATGGTCTACTGTGTCAAACACTTCTCTTAGGCCAATAAAAATTCCTAGTGGATATTCCTTATTTTCCAATGCTGTGTAAAGCAGGTCTAGCATTTTTATAATTGCATCATTAGTGCTTTTATTTTTCCTGAATCCAAATTGGCAGGGGTTGAGTATGTTTTGTGACGTTATAAATGAATATAGTCTCCTGTGCACGAGTTTCTCAAAGTTTTTTGGATAGCAGTGGTAAGTTTTGATAATGGCCTATAGTTGTTTAACGTCTGTAGGTCACACCTTTATGTATTGGTGTAACCCTTTTGCTGTCTTGAGTAGTGTCGGGGAAGTGCTATGGTTTCTAGTGAACTTGTTAAAAGTAATGTAATAGCATGCGAAAGGCATGGGCCGCTCGCTTTGAACAATAATGGTGGGACGTGAGACAGATTCCTGAGTTATTTTTAAAGTGACTTCATGATCGCGGTGACTTCATGGGCTCAGTTGGTACAAGATAGAAGGAAATTTGGGAAATTCCCTCTAGGTAGTCCCCGGCACAGGCATTGGTACAGGGATTCTACTGCGAGATTAAATCCTTGTTTGAGAAGAAAGTCGTTTATCTTGTTAGCTGTATCAGTGGGATGCAGTGGTGTTTTCCAGAGTTTAGTTAGAACAATATTCTTGGTTTTTTTCAGTTTGTGGGTTCCTAGAATCTGGAAAGTGCTCTCAGGTTTTTTTATATCTCCTCTTGTGTCTCAGTGAATCTGCTGTGTATAGTTTGGCTTTCTTATTATCTGGTGAGAACTGTTGAATTTGTTTAAGATATCTTTGTGTATTAAGCCCTGTTATATTGCTTTTTTCATATTGGTGTTTCTTATCAATGGATTTCGAATGCTGCTGGTTAGCCATGGGCAACCAAGCGTTTATTCGTGATCTGTTTCGTTTTTTTTAAGACAATGTTTATTGTATAGTCTAAGTATTTTGTTAAGGAAAATGTTTGTCCAATGTCCCATTACCATTGGCATTGGAGAATTCTGTAGTCAGTCACAGTCTCTGGGTACTGCTGTGAAATCCTTATGAGCTCGTCATGGAGTCAATGAAACTTTGTTGCATTCGAGCGGTTGGCTTACAAATGTTTGTTAAGAGAAGGTTGGGTATGTCAGTAGTGTGTCTGTGATTATCCCTGATTTAAGGAGGGCTGGTATATTGTCCATATGGGTCTATTATGGTTGCACTTGTCTCAGTCAAGCCTGTTGGTTTAGTTATTGTTGGTATGAAAGTGTGTTGTTCATATTGTTGATGAATATCAGTTACGTCTGGTCATGTGGTAGCAAGTTGATATTTGAAGTCCTCCAGTTAAGAAAAGGTGGTGCTTGTTCATTTGTCTGTTTTTATAGTACTTTAGACTCTCACTGAGTTTGGGATGTTTTGTGGGGTATCCGGTATATGGCACCGGATTGTTATAGGCGTCTTGAGGTTTTTTACATTTAAAATTAGCAAAAATGTATTCCCCATATTATCATTAAAGCAATTAGTGCTAATACAAGCTAGTTGGTTAGAGTAAAGATGCAGTACCACCCAACTTGGTATAGACTGCGTTGGGGATTGCTGTGTATCCTGGTAGGGTACATATCAATTGTGTCCTGCTTAAGCCAGTCTCAGTAAGAATAATGCAGGAAAGGGTGTCTTTAGTGACCTCAAAGAGTGCCAGGAGATCATCATAGTGTTTGCTTAAGGACTGAGGGTTGTAGTTAAGAACTGATAGACTTTGAGCAATGTTCAGGTATAGTGCTGGCTTGTGATGCCGTGTAATAAAGGCAGTTACTTTCAAATTTAAGTTTTGATTTTTGTGTTAGATTATGGAGGTTAGATCAGGGTCAACGTATCATTATACTTTTAGTTAAATAGTGGTTGTTTATATCCTGTATTTTGTGGTGAGTTCTAATGTGTTTCTTAGTGGTGGGAGTTTGGATAAGTAATGCTAAAGCACTTTGGTCATATAGAGTATAGTCACTAATAAAATAATGAATGTTTTGTCTATGTGTATGTGCTAGAATGAGCTAAAGTACAACTAGGTATAAACTAATACTATAAAAAAAAATTACAAGTGGCACCAGACTCACTCTTGCAATTGCACTAAGGTCTAATATAATGAATTTAGTGTTGTCTATGTATTGAGCTAGAATGAGCTAAAGTACAACTAGGTATAGTTAGTTTAGGTGTTGTCTATGTATTGAGGTAGAATGAGCTAAAGTACAACTAGGTATAAACTTATAATATAAAAATACAAATTAAAATGGTACTTGCAATTGCACTAGGGTCTGATATAGGTTGTTAACAAGATCAATGGTATAACTAGATTTAAATTGACAAAATAAAATTCACAAATTAAAGTACCAAAAGTAAAAAATAACAATGGCAATGACTTGGTTATAATATGATAGTAAGATGGTAGACAGGTAGACAGGTAGACAGGTACACAGGTACACAGGTACACAGGTACAAAGGATAATATAAAGGTTGGAGTTGAACATACAAACTTGAAAATTTGGCAACAAAATGTTATGAAAAGTATAAAATAATGTTTAATGTACAAAAGTAAAATTGACTGTTAGTAAATATGGTGTTTAATAAAATTTTGGTAAGTAATAATGATTACAAAAAAAGTGAGAAAATAATGTTTATTTCAAGTATTAAATTTTAAGAACAGTTATTTGGATTCAATATTGCACTGGTAGTTATACTAGAGGTTATTTGGCAGTACAAGGTAATTAAGAGTACTCTAAGATAGTAAATGTGGTATTAAAACAGGTTATGGTAATTAGACAAGTAATGATAATTAAATGATGTCAAAAATGTTAAGAGTAAATTGTACTAATAGTAAAAATGGTAATTAATTATTAATTTAAGGTAGTAATATTGACAGAAAAGGTATCAATTCAGCTAATATTTAAGCAAACAATAGTAAATAAGAAAATTACGTAAGGTGACTTATGCTTACTAGTAAAATCAGAAAATGAGGTAGTTGATTATTTAATTACTAAGAGATTGTATTATGAAATTTGAACAATAATGGAGCAAAACATACACTACACTACGTAGGTTTTTAGGTTGGACATTGTTTAGTTATTCTCTGTAAGATTAGTATCCCTGAGAAATCGTGATAGATCATTCTCGTTCGTGATTGTGTACAGTTGACCTACATTCGTTTTCCTAACTAGAATTTTCCCATCCCGTGTGAAGCATTAGTGTATTGTGTCATTATTCTGACGTTTTTTGGTAAGACACTCGTTTATGTATACCTCTTTCTTTACTTTAATAGATGCAATTATTAAGTCTTTTTTCCTGTCATGTGAGTGGAACCTAAGCATAACACTTTTTCTACCTTGGAATCCTAGCAACCTGGCTTTCTTTATTTCTAATTCTTGTACAATAACACTTGTTTGGTCCTTTATGATCTGCAGAGTAATTTCTTTACTGTTCGTTTGGTTCATATGACTGGGAAAAAGTGGACTGTTAACTATTACTGGGGTCTGATAGCTTATCTTGCTCAGTTTTATCTTCTTGGAGAGCAAAGTAGTCACCGAACTGGTTATCTAAGTTGCTCTTCAATTCTTTTACTGCTTCTTCAACATTTGTATTAAGAGATATTATTTGTTCTGAATGGCTATCTATGACTGTTTGGATGGTCTTGCCATAGTTAGTCATTCCTGGTGTTGATAACTTTTGTTCAAGACTGAGGATTTTGTTCTCGAGTTGTCATCCTGGTGTCTTGTTTTGTTAGCGTCTCTCGAAGATTCATATTTTCAATAACTAAGGTGAAGATGCATGACTTTAGGGTATCTGGATCGTTGGTCATACCTGAGAGACTACTTGGTAGGTTGAATCTGGGTAAGAGAGGGGTGGATGGGCTGGAGGCAGCCATGTTTGTTGTTATTGTTGTGGTGTGGCCTTGAGCGGTGGTGACAGGGGTGGTAGCTGGGCCGGTGTCCTCAGTAAGTTTATTCAGGTATACACAAATACAGTTACATAGAATTATCATACATAGCAGCACATGTATAGAGAACCTAGGATAGCCCATAAAAGCCAGACAGAGTGACTTATTTCCATTGGGGTCCTTTTACCTTATTATTATAATATAAAGGTTATAATATTTTCTTATTATTCTATAATGAAGATAACATCTTATTATTAAACTACAAAGACTATCTACTACACGAGGGTCATTAAGATAATCTACAATACGAGGGTCATTACTAGGAATAAGGTAAAATTTACACTTATGTTAGCTAAAAAATAGAAAATCATTCCCCTCCCTTTCTGTAGTTACATTCATCACACACCTTTTGGCACTCTTCTTGAACTGGTTCATGCTATGACTGGCTTTGACATGTGCAGGGTAGTCTGTTCCATTCCCTTATTGCTGTACAATAAAAGGTTTTTGAAGCCTGGCCAATGACTGTGGGTACTACAAAGTTGTGCTCTCTCCCCCTAGTACTATGATTGCTTTGGTTTCCAACCTTGACAAAATTGACAGCAAGATATTCTGGACACTGTTTGTGAGCAATTTTATAAACATGATTTTTGCTTCAGTTGTTTTACTCTGTCTTCAACATTCAGCATATCCAACTGCTGTAATTCATCCTGGCCTACATGTTCTCTTGGTCCCAGCCCCAGGATGAATCTTACGATTTTGTTCTGGGTGATTTGCAGTCTATTTTTCAGTTTTTATTGTCAAGGCAGAGTACCATGAAGAGCAAGTGTAATCCATATGGCATTGTATAAGGGCTAGACATAGGGTCCTGCGAGCCTCAGTAGGTAGACACTGTGCTTGTCTATACAGAAACTTCAGTCTGGCATTCGCTTTCTTTACTACACTGTTCCCTATCAATTCTCCTGACATGCATGGGTCAAAGGGAATTCCCAGATATTTTACTGAAGAAACCAAAGTGATGGGCTCCCCATTACACTGAACATTAAAATTATTACCCTTCTCAGTTTATGTTTCGTGCCAAAGAGAATGGCTTCAGTTTTCCCGAAGTGTAATGATAGTTTCTTGTCTACTAACCATTTGCTGCAGGACTCCAGTTCCAGTGTTAAAACATTAGCTATATCTTGTGGATCTTTACCTGACACTAACAGGGCACTGTCATCTGCATACAGTAGGAGTTTGCACTTGACACTGATAGGCATATTATTGACATAACATAAGAATAATAAGGGACCCAGAATACTACCTTGGGGAACTCCACATGTTATCGGCAGGGGTTCTGATTCCGTTTTGTTGATTTTGACTATTTGTCTCCTGTTGCTAAGGTAGGACTTAAACCAATCTACAGAACCTATACCGATAGCTTGAAGTTTCTTAAATAATATATTGTGGTTGACAGTATCGAAGGCCTTTTGCAGGTCTAAGGTTACCATACCTATGAGGTTCCCCTTTGACATTTCAGTTCTCAAGTAATCCATTATATTAATTAGGGAGGTGTCGGTTGAGTAGGATCTTCTAAAGCCTGATTGATAGCTATGGAGAATGTTGTTGTCCTTAAGGTACTTAACTACTTGAGAGTACACCGCCCTCTCTAGAATTTTAGATATTATACTGAGTATACTAACAGGCCTACAGTTACTGACATCAGACCTACTATTTTTCTTGAAGATAGGAGTAACTCTGGCCTCCTTGAACCCCTCTGGTACGGTATTAGTTGTGATTGATAGATTTATTATGTGAGCAATAGGGATTGACAGTTCAGAAGCACCATCTTTTAGGAACTTAGACGGGATGTTATCAGGGCCTGTGCTCTTAGTTGGGTTTAACCTGCTTAGTTCTTTTTGAATAAAATCATGAGATACACTTACTAATTGACAACTGTTTGGGGTTACTCCTTTATTGGTATAGTATGTTCGGAACTTATCAGAGTCTGTGTTAAAGGTATTTGATGCAGCTGGTAGCTTACTTACTAGTGTTGATGCAACTGATGTGTAGTAGGAATTAAAGCAATTTGCCACCTTAGATGTTTCGTGGCATACCTCATTATCGATAGTGAGTACTATGTTAGACCTATCTACTGGCTTATGGCTATACCCCAACTGTTTTAGTTGTTGCCAGAGCTTTCTGGGGTTATGCTTATACTCTTCAATTTTTGAGCAATAGCACTTTGCCTTTTCTCCTTTTATAAGTCTCTGTACTCTGTTCCTCATCCTTTGGAATTCATTTAGTGCTGCAATTTCTTGTCTGTTTGTTTTAAATCTTTCTAGCAGCTGGTCTCTGAATTTCATATTATCTAATATCTCAGTAGACATCCAGGGTTCAGTTCTTCGTTTAATCCTAACCTCTTTAACTTGTGCAATATTATCAAGGATGGTAGTGAACATTGTTTTGAATTTTTCCCAGGCATCGTTTACGTCCGTGCAACTTGTTATCTCTGTCCAGTCACAATTGTATAGCCTATTTACCAGTGTTTCTTTACTGTAGTTTCTAGTCGACCTCATTTTTATTGTCCTGTGTAGGCCTATCCTATCCCTAGTGATTTTCCTGGTGCAGTAAATGATGAAATGATCACTAAGACCTGTGGTAATGACGCCTGACTGACTAATGTTCTCAGCACGGTTACAAAGTATGTGGTCAATTATGGTGGCTGAGAACTGTGTGATCAGGGTTGGTGTATTAATTAGTTGAGTGTAACTATTTAAACCTAGAATTTGCTTATACCTTTTGCATACCCCGTTATTTTGCTGCTGAAAACAGATATTGAAGTCGCCCAGTATTATTGTCTCGCAATTGTTTTCAAATCCGGACAAGACTCTGGAAAAGTCTTCTAAGAACTGGTCCTGGGTAGGAGGGCGGTAACTAGTTCCTACTAAGATGGGTTTGGTCTTGGGAAGCAGCACTTCAAACCATAGAATCTCCAGTTTATTGTTATTTAAATCAGGTCTTGGGTTGTAAGCTAAGTCATTTCTAATGTAGGCACATACTCCACCACCCTTTCTGTTCCTATCTAAGCGATTTATATTGTAACCTTCTATTTTGACCTCGTCGTCAGTCACCGTATCATCCAACCAGGACTCAGAGATGGTAATAACTGCCTCCCTAGTGATGTATATAGCTGTAAAATAACTTCTGGACTTCTGTTACTTATAATTCGTGAGATAAATCCAGTGGTGGCCTGTATCAACTTCAGTGGTGACCTGTACTTAGCTCTGTGAAGTGTCTTGTGTGCTCACCGCGGACTGAACCAAGATGCCCTCCATCGAGCAACTTTACCAGCAGCTTAAGGAAGAATTGAGGGTAGCGAAGATGGAGATACGGCGATTGACTGAGGAAAACAAGAGAATTCGTAGTAGTCCTGTTTTGAGTCCTCAGGTCAAGAAGAGAACGTGATCGGTGGCTGGACAGCATAGAATGAAGTTGACGATCAAGAAGACGAATGAAAAGGTAGAAACGATGAAGAAAAAAGAGACTGCTGTGGAAACATCTAATGCATTCTCCGTGCTACCCGACGAATGTGAGTCGACTACTGGGAACGTCACGACGAATGACACCAAGGAAGGTAAGAATATTGTCGTTGGGGATAGCCAGGTTAGATACATGAATAGGGCGTTCTGCTTGAAAGACAGAAGTAGGAGACAGAGGGTTTGCTTTCCTGGGACTAGGATGGAGGATATTGTTCGCCGTCTGGATGACATCATGAGAGGTAATGGGAGCAATCCTAATATTTGTCTCAGTGCTGGAGGCAACGATGTTGGCAGACGTAGGAATGAGGACCTGATTAGCAGATATAAGTCAGCAATAGAGATAATTAGGAGGAAAGGTGGGAACCCTGTCATATGTGGTATTTTGACAAAGAGAAAAGTTGGAAATGAATGGTTGTCCAGGGCAATTGGTGTCAATTGCTGGCTGGACAAATACTGTAAGGAAAATGCCATAACATTCATTGACAACTGGGACCTCTTCTATGGCAGAAATGACATGTATGCCAGGGATGAGGTTCACTTATCTAGGTCTGGGGTGGGGGCACTGGCAACTGCAGTGGAGGGAGCTGTTAGGGCTATAAACTAGGAATAGTTAGTGGTATGGGTCTTGGCCGGAAAACAGTGAACTCCCAGTGTAGTAGTATGAGTACTAGGAGAACTAGTAATAGGCATAATGAGGTGGATATTGGAAAGCCAGTGACACTAGGCGACAAGGACAGTAATAGGTTTAGTAGAAAATCAGACATGAGCAGGAAGGGTAAAGAAAAAAGAGGGTCTTTAAATATACATTATACTAATTCCCGTAGTGCTAGGAATAAGATGAACGAGTTGAGATTAGTTGCTAGTTGCCATAACTGAGACGTGGTTTAATTCAAAAAGTCGGGACATGCCTGCAGAATGTCACATTCATGGTTTTAAATTGTTCCAAGTAGATAGAAGTATCGGGAAGGGGGGTGGGGTGGCACTGTATGTCAGAGATCCCATGTACTGTTGCACAAAAACGGGTATTAAGTCTGAAGTAACACATACAGAGTCTGTTAGGATAGAATTTTCAAAGGGACACGAACAATTGATTTTAGGTGTGATATACCATCCCCCAAACTTAGATAGGGACCAAGGGAGACTACTACAGGAGGAAATTGTAAATGCCACTAGGCACGATAACGTAGTAATTCTAGGAGACTTTAATTGGAATTTCTTGACCGGGAATTTAGAATCAAACGACTTCTTAGAAGTAGTTCAGGATTGTTTTTTGAAGCAGTTTGTGACAGAGCTTGCAAGGGGAAATAACCTGCTTGACTTGGTTTTGGCAAACAAGGAAACCCTTGTAAATAATTTAGAAATTACCGAGGAACTCGGCACAAGTGATCACAAATCAATTACCTTTAGCATTGAATGGAAGTATGATAGTAGGGATAATTCAGTAATGATCCCAGATTTTCGTTTAGCAGATTACAATGGGCTTAGAGAACACTTATCATCTGTGGACTGGAGTAACGAAGAGAGCTATCAGTACGACAGC